GGAATGCCCAAGTCCCGATGACAAAAAAACTTAATCATCATTTTATCTTTTACCAAATTTTTGCTTGACACAAAAGATCATCAGTCTTCTTCTAATCACATTGATTTAGTGCTGAAAATGAGAAACTTCAGCATAGAAAATGCTTGGTTGTCTATTAAATTTAGAGTAAATTACACTAACATGCCCTGAGGTTTTGCAAGATTGCATATAAACTCCTTACTATTTCTATCCCTACACTAACTCCCCTTGATTGTTTGAAAATCATGACACAGATACTCCCTTAAATTTTACATTAACCCGCCCTTAATTGTTTGAAAAACATTGCACCGTGTCCCCCCTACAACCAAGTTGTTGTAAACGTTAAAAAGCATGGGGTTACGTGCAATTTCACAAAACCTTGGGGTGTTAGTGTATTTTACTCTTAAATTTAAGCAAAAAAATGTAGAAAATATATGGCATATGGGAATGGGAAGTGTGTCTAGCATGCATTCAACAACAAATTTTTTAAATAAATGACAATGGTTTCCTGCTTTCCTTATTACAAATCAATACTTGCTTATCAATGAAAACCTCATAAAAATAATTGCCCCATATCTCATTAATATCTTGGTCTCTAACTTTCTGGTTTTAGGAAGAATTAAAGGGGTTGAAAAGAGGTGTTCCACAAGAGGAAAAATTTCCTTAAGTGGGGATCTAAATGGACATGTTGGTAGTGAGTCAAGGCAATTTTCAGGAGCTCATGGTGGTTTTGGTTTTAGTGAACTAAATGAGGAAGATAGACTATTCTCTATTTCTCTACAGCTTATGATCTTAGGATTATGAACACTTATTTCAAGAAGCAAGAGGAACATCTAATCACTAAGAGTAGAAGTTCAAGGTCACAAATTGATTTCTTTTTTGTAAGATGTGCTAATAAAAGATTTTGTAAAGATTGCAAGGAGGTCCTAGGAAAGAGTCTTATTGCACAACATAGGATTTTAATTCTTGATGTTTGTCTCAAAAGGCATAAACAGAAAATCTGATAAGTTACAAATCCAAGAATCAAGTGGTGACAACTTAAGTAACAATTGAATTTTAAGAAGAAACTATTGGAGGAAAGTAATTGACAAACATGGTAATACTAACCTGATTTGGGATGAGACATCTAAGAATATTAGGAAGGTTGCTAGAGCATTCTTGGGTGAATCAAAAGATTTTAGGCCAAGAGATAAGGAATTTTGGTAATGAAATGAAAGTGTTCAAGACATGGTTAGAAAGAAAAGAGAATGCTTTAAATTCTTATACGGGTGAAATAATGTTGAAAATTGGGCAAGGTATTGGAATGCTAGAAATGATACAAGAAAAATTGAATTAACTACAAGAGATATTCATAATTGTGTTAACTACAGCCTAAAGGGTAATAGAACTAATGAGTGACACAATGAAATTATGAGAAAAGGTAATTGAGCATAGGTTAAGGGAAGATATGAGAATTGCAAAGAACCAATTTGGTTTTATCACTTTATGCCTGGAGTATCTACAACAGGAGCCATTTACCCTTTAGAAGAGTTGATGGAAAGGTACTAAAACAGCAAATATACTTACATGTGGTTTTTATTGACTTGGAAAAAGCTTATGATTAGTACCAAGAGAAGTATTGTGGAAGACTATGGAAAAGAATCGTATTGACATGGCTTACATCCGAGTTATACAAGAGATATATAATGGAGTAACTATTGGTGTGGGAACTCCAAAAGGCAAGACTAAGAACTTTGCTATAGGGATAGGATAACATCAAGGCTCATCCTTAAGTCCTTGTTTAATCAAGTGTTGGATGTTCTTGCCAAGGATGTACAAAAGATTATCTCTAATTGCATGCTTTTTGTAAATAATATAGCTTTGATTGAGAAATTGAGAGAAACAGCCAACTTTAAACTTGAGTTTTGGAGACAGACTTTGGAAACAAAGGATTTATGCTTAAATGAGAGTACGACAAAGTATATGTTTTGTAATTTTAGCCAGAGGCAAGAGGAATATGACTTGGAAATAAAGATGAGGGAATATGTCATATTGTAGGTCTAAGTTTAAATATATGAAATCAATAATACAAAATGATGGAGAACATAATGAGGATGTTACAAATAAGATATAAGAGGGATGGTTAAAATGGAAAAAGGCAACAAAAATTATTTGTGATCACAAAGTACCTACCAAACTCACAAGCAAGTTTTATCATATTGTTATACATTCGACTATACTTTATGGAAGTGAATGTCGAGCTTTAAAGGGACAACATGAGAAAAAGGTTAGAGTACCATAAATTGGAATGTTAAGATAAATGTGTGGCCAAATAAGAGAGAAAAAGATACGAAACAATTGTATACAGGTAGATATGAAATGATTGTATATGAGGAGATATTAGTGTAGCACCGATTGAAGAAAATATGACAGAAAATCAGATAAGGTGGTTTAGACACATACAAAATGGGCCATTGGAGACACCAGTGAGGAAAGTAGATTGCACGTGAAAAAGGAGAAAGGGAGACCAAGAAGAACATTGGGGGAAGTTGTTAAGATATATCTCGTGATATATAATAACTGAGATGAATGACCCTGTGTGATCCATGCAGTAGACCTCATCTAGTGGGATAAAGCTTTTGTTATTGGTGTTGTTGGTTTCCTGCTTTCCTGAGAGTAGCTTATTTTATTAAACACCAAGAGTTCCCTTTCATTAACCAAAAACAAATAAAATGATAATAATTTCAAGAATCACGTTATAAAAAACACACCCTTAACATCCTAGAAGAGATGAATTTTCCAATTTCAGCCTACATTGTTACGCAAGGAGTGTAGAACAAACAATATCAAAATACAAATTTCTAGTTTGACAGTAAGCACAATAAAATGGGAAGGTGAAGTCACATGACATTGGTTTTCTATTCTACAGAACAATTTCGGGCACTACAATTCTACAAACACGATTCATAAAGGACCAAAGCTTTTGATCAAAATGTCACCAATTCAGGTACTACAATTCTAATGCTACTCTTCAAAAACTCTGCCTTATCAAGTCCTTATTTAATTTTACAGGGAAACGCCCATATTTCTTCGGTTAACAATTCCAACCGAAAATGAGAAAATGGGCACAAATTTGAAAGCTTTTGCAGGAAATTTCACCTGGGTCGGAATCGCTTTCGAGACAAATTCGACAACAGGGGAGTGAGCCAGCCTCGATGTCTTCCTCATCCTTGATCACACCAGAACTTCCCGGTGACTCGTCCACCTCCTGATCATGTAGCAAAGGGTCGGTATCACTAGGGTTTTGCAGGACCGGTGGAGGCTGAAGCTGCACTTCCCCCTTCATCGATGATTACTGTTCGATCAAGCAAATTTTGAGAATTGAAACCCTAACAGACAATATCGCTGATCCTAGCACAGGTATCATAAGATTCAGGTCCTTGACTGTGGAATGAACAAATTAAATGAAAAGGGTCAATTGAAATAATTTGGAATAAGGTACCTGAAATAGTGAATCAGTTCTTAAGAATATCGATGAAAACAATAACAATGCAGGGGAAATGCTATCCTGTTGGATAGTGTATGGGACGGTTCAAAGTACTGTTTTGGATTTTTTTCTGCATAAATCTTCAATTTCACGAGGTAAATAGAAGCATGATGGAAATCGCAAACCTACTCCTTGTCTTGACCTTAAAATGGCTAGTTTGGTTTTAATTACTTAACTGGGATATAACTTTTACTTCAAAAATTTAAGAGTGAGATTTGCATCAATTGAATAAAAGAAAAAATATTCGTGCTAATCAAATTTGAATTAAATCTCAATTTAATAAAAGAAAATATATTCGTGCTAATCAAAATAATATCAATTTTGAATGGGGAGGTTTAACCTTCCTAATAATTTTATCTCATTCGAATAAGATTTTTTTCAATAAAATATATGTACAATATCTACTAAAATGAATATAAGTACTAACAAAATTTATAATATATCGTATTTAATTTTAAGAATAATTTAATGACAAGTTTGGATAAGTTTCATATTTTTTATGAGAATAATTTTTTCTATTCATTTGTCAATTATGGAAAAATTTCACTAATCAATCTATATTGGATTTTTCATTTATATCATTATTTTTCTTTTTTTTTTATATCATTCTACTTACATAAATATATATAAATAAGTTTTCTTAAGAGTAATTATATTAAGTTTGTTTAACTTACATTTTCTAATGGAACTTGTCTTAATTATAACAATAAAAATAATGATTTAATCCTATAATAATATTAAAATATAACCACAATAAATCATAAATAATTTTATTATAACAATAAAGCAAGTGTACGATACAATCAAAAATAAGTTTTAATAAATATTTAACCACAAATAAAGTAATATAAGTTAATAGATAAAAGTCAAGAAAAAATATATATAACTACATAGGTCAATTCAACTCAACTTAACTTGTCATTTAATCCGTTAGAGTGGTGAAATATATAATTTTGGTTGTATGAGTTAGAGGGTTGAAAAATACAATTCAACTAAACTCAATTTGTTTTGGCATGTTATATAAGATAATTTATTAAGTTAGACTCATTGTGACACTTTTTTTTTACTTTAACTAAAATGGATCAGAGGTAACTATTATTAAGGTATATAATTTTTTTCTTATAAGGTTACGAGGTATGTATATGTCAAAGAGCGAAGGAATAATGTGTGGTGAATGAGATAGTTTGGATTATTTATTAAATATACAAGTGACTATATAGAGTTGAATAAAAAAAATAAAGAAAAGATGAAAAAAAATATTAAAAGTATATTTTTTAATTTATCCTAAATTTATATATTATATTTAACTTATATGACACTTTTTTCTTTTACTTTGTGTATTTTTTTCATTTTTTATCTTATAAGTTTTTTTTTTCATTTTTCATCCCTTTAAATTTTCTTTTATTTTTTTTTTCTCTCTAATGTGTTGTTATAGCATGTCTCTATTGTGAAGATGTGACACTAGTGATGTATCATTATATTTATGCATGATGATGTTATCATGATATCATATTTTGTTAAAATGATATGTGATAGTATGATAAAGTTAATGTTTTTGCAACAGATTTGATAGTAGGAACAAAAAATCAAACTTTTAAATTTTACATAGATAACTTTTTAAAAAATTACAAGGACAAATAATATAAGAAAAATATACAAAATTATATAAATAAAAATTATATTTAAGCAAAAAGAAATATGATTGTATGTTTATTTTATTTTATTTTTAAAACAAATTAAAATTATTATTTCTTGCATATTTTATATATAAATAAAAATGTGATATAATTATAAAGCCATATTTTTTTATTGTTACTTTTTTCTATATATTACACTTATAAAGGGATAAATATATTTTTTATCCCTCTAAAGTTTTTTAAAATTTTATTTCAATTCCTTAAAAAAATTATTTCTTATTTTGGGTATTCTAATTGAAAAATGCACTACTTTTAATTTTCAAAGTTGTTTAGATGATGTGTTATAATAAAAAAAAGATTTTTATGCTAAAATAAAACCTAAATATAATTTTGTAAGTGTGATTATTATTATTAAATTATCCTAACTATGATCTTAAATCATTAAATCATTGTTAGAATTTTATTCTTATATTATGCCTTTATGTAAATTAGTAAGACATACATTAAATACTAGTGATATAAACTTTAACTCTAATAATTATAAAAAAAAAAAAAAAAAA